TTAAAAGAAATTTATCTACTTATCTTCTAAAGATGTGTGAAAAATCGTATTGTTACAAGTGTTTATATGGTCGTCTTTAGATCAACCTTTTGAGGCACCTACTTCTTTTGACATTGTAATGTGGCACCGAATACAAAACTTACATTGGTATCTCTTAGGATAAACCCAGTATATATTGAGGTTACTACAGATTACCTCTTTTTAGATGAAAGTTTCTTGGCATATATTAAATTGGATTTAAATCTCTAGTATTTCCTAACGTAAATCACATACTACACATGTATATGTAAGAGATAAGGAATAGACTGTGCTGATGGCAGTTTTGCTCAACACCGTAAGTTGCAACAAAACCAAGGCATTAGCCTAAAAACTCTAGTCTTGTTTTAAATAGCTTCGTCAGATCGAAACTTTCATATAGATGTCATACCTTGCGTCAAATTCATTCAGAAATATTTAAACTGTCAGCTGTATACAACCAATTTCTCAGATCGATGATTTTATAAATGGCTTCGAGCGAATGAAGCCTGTAGTTCTTATCGAGTACCACCCTTCTTCGAACCTTGTGCACTAGCGCTACAGAATCATTAACAAAGAACTTTACCAAATAACAGAAACCACATCACTTGGAGACTTTCAACAACAGCATCAACTAAAACGGAAAAGGGAATAATGACATAAGATGACATTCCACACTACTTCAAGCAAAAAGTTAGAAGGAACCCTCAGCAGTACTAGAAAGAGTAATGGCAGTTACTGGGCTTCAGAAACCTATGTTCCTGAAAAATTGTCTTAAGAGAAATATTTTATAAATTTCAACCGAAAATTACACTATCCACACAATCAATTAATGCTGAATGTTTCCTTATAAGGAAACGGCTAATATTACCATTGTTATATTGTTTTAGCATACCTACGGACGATAATGGGTATGTCCCCATTCACATAAATACAGGAGTAAATACTGTCTGTTGGTCTGCAGTTGGAAATTCATTTGACTCACTTCTAGCAGTTGACTGCTTCTTATACACGCCGCTAGTGAATCTTATATGTGTTGTTGGTGTCCTAAGTCTTATCGTTCATTACCAAACTTCGTGTGATTATTCTATTCAGTAACCTTCTTTTGGTTACAAGACATATATAAACAAAATTAATATAGAGAACGATCGGAGTCTAATTTGACTTTAAAATCGAAAGAAGCAAAATTTTTGGAAAAAGAATCCCTTTTCATAAGATCGAGAAAATCATTGACTTTTAAGTAGAAATCAAGAACAGATTTCACAGTGTATGGAATGAAAAAAATAACATAGTAGACATATATAGCAAATTGTTAACTAATTAAGAAAGCAACAGAAATAAGGGCAAAACATCGTAAATAGTAATAACAAAAGGACAACATTAAAACTGAAAAAAAAAATAGAAGAGAATGATAGACATAAGCATGAAGATAAAATTAAAAAGGAAAACCTACTCAATGAGAGAAGAAATAAAGAGGATAAACATTGAAAGTCGGAACTCTTTAACTCAAATAAAAGTGCACACTTCAACATCCATGAAAAAAAAACAAAAACAAAAACAAAAAAAACAGACCTTAATTTCATCCGGCTCTGTCCAACCACTTCTGGAATACCTTCTAAAAATACCAAGCGCATTAAACATCTTTCTGGCCAATCAAAAAATAAATAAATAAATAAAAATAAATAAATAAAAAATAAAAAGAGTACGCGATTTTCACAGCAGCCGTTTCTGAGTCACTGAATGACTATAAAATCAACGCCGATTTCACCCACGGAGACCGATCCGACCATGCTGACATTATCGACGGACCCAACGGCAGGCAAGCTTAACCAGGCCATCAGCTACGACACCAAGATGCTTTCATCAACAGCAATGTCTTTGGCCAGCAACGAAACCAGCGGTAACAGCAGTGACCAACTTTCGAATACTACAATACAATAATTTTTGTTGATGTACTTTCTTTAACGAAAATAAACTTGGTAATATATATTTTTTTACTTAAGTTTCGTTTGTCGTTGTCTTCTGTCATTCAATATATTCAATGTCATTTTATATATGAAAACATCTTTGCAATAATTCAACTACACAAAACCACGGATAAAATTTATTGGAATAGATAACGAAGGAAAAAGATATTTCTTCATTCGTAAAAAAATTGTCCAATAATGACAACCTTATATATTACATAATAGTTCAGAACTCTGATTATGATAATTTGTGTAGGTGAATAAAAAAATCCACAGCGTAATAATTAAAAAGGCATTTCTTTTATGCAACAAATATTTATTTTTCAACATAATCTCTTTCCTTGACACAATTCAATATTGAATATTAATAATCTAGCTCGAACATTATACGGTTAGAATTTAATATAAAAATTCAGCTAATAACTATTTATTAATCCACTCATCTATATATAATTTCTTACTGCAATTAACAATGGATATGAATATATATTTAAAGTTGATTTCTGTTTGTTTCAAATATACTTATCTGAAAAAAGTACCTTACTAGCTATTAGTAAGGTACTTTTTTCAGATTAGCGACATCAGTTTCTATCAATTAAGCGTCACATTTATTTACACGCAGTTAGTTTACACAATTCTCCGCTATTGGGGAGATGATTAATTGTCAACTTTCCAGTGAAAGTGTTCCGTTTATATTATATTAAAAACAAGACAAGCCAAATATTCCATTATTTTGTCCAGTCAGAACTCGACGAAAAGAAAAAATAAAATCAATTAGTTTTCTCTGGTACTGGGATCCTATTAACACACACACACACACACACACACACACACACACACACATATAGATTCCGAGTTCAACAACCAGCTATCACAAATTGCTCAATGCTGCTCAAAGGATGGTCAGATCTTTTCATCTACAAACGGTTATATCCAAATAGGCCAATTTCTACTCGATATGCTGACCTACGCTTAAAATTCCTCAAAACGTCTGTATCTCGATCGACGTTTGAACCTACGTACCAAAAGGACTTAAAGTTGTTGTCATAACGACAATCAACCAGATGCTACTTTGACCTAAACAGCAAGAATAAACCAATCTCTTCCATATATTCAAATTTGCTGCAGAGTAAATATGTAAGAAATTTAGTCGTTCATCTTTTTTTATATTAAAAATCTGAACGTCCGAATTTCAAACAATATTAAAATTAAAATAAAGAAAACATGGGTATATCTGTTAAATAAATCATTTGTATACACTAACCCCCAAAAAATCAAAAAGTAGTTAGTCTATAGTGACGTGAGGCTTCGGGTTAATATGAACGGTTGATTTACCAACTCCAAGAAGATTGATGGGGATGCTAATGACGAGGAAACACTCGGGTAATTTTAAGAAAACAAAATAAGGAATTTACACGCTTGAAGTTGTATCAGTAGCTCCTTTCAGAAAAAGAAATCAGAAATTTTTAAAGTCTGTAGTTTTAGTGAATTTTCAGAAAATGTTCATACAACAGATTAAATGATCTGACACATAATAATATTAAAAAATGTTTAAAACAAAGGTAAGAGAGTTCGTTGCTTACCGAGTGACATATGGTTCGTATACATTCAAAAGTAGACGAAAAGGGATAGCTAGAAATACTTAGCTTTCTTGGATTGTCGAAAGAAAATTCTTTGAAGTGACACATGCTTGGTTAAAGGTCAATAATATAATTGGCGAATAATTTTACACTAGCAAGAACGTGAACACTAGCCGCTGATCGCGAGAAACTGAAAGGAAACTCTTCACATGACTTCAGATACTCTTCCCTCAATTTAATTTTTCTCCTCATTTTATGCCAAAAAGATTTTCGTATAGACTCACTACATTCTTTTCATTCTTCTTGGCTCAACGGCTAATTTTTGTGAAGACATGCTTTTCATTGGTCCAAAACAATTTCTTATAGGCTCGAGAATTTATTTCCGTCTTCTTCTCAGCTCGCCGGTCAATCTCTGTGAAGGCAAGGTTTTCATTGGTCCAAAGAAAAGTTCGCATAGGCTCGAGAATTCCTTTTAGGGGCACTAGAGTGTTTGAGTTTCTTCTCAGGCAGGTAGTGCATGAAGACATTCGGTATTTCTCATACAAAATGAGGAAGGGCCAATTTTTATCCCAAACTGTGAAGGACAATAAGAAAGACCGCGATATGAAGCTTATGAACTGTGACACTGAGATCTCCGGGAGTTGATCAAACAAAAAAAAAAAAAAAAGAAAGAAAGAAAGAAGAGTCTACTAACTGGATGATAATTGTTGAAATTGCCGGAAGATGGACTGAAAAGTCGAGAAGAAAATTAAAAACGAAATGCGTTGAAAAATCATATTTTCAAATAACTCCAAGGAGAATCGAATACAAATTTAACTAGACGGAATTCACTAAGATTGAGCAAAACCAAGACTACCCATCCTTCCCCACTTGCCGCCGATGAGAAAGAGACCATTAATGTATCCGCGAAGATGTCAAATAGAAAAAAATTATATGTTGCCGATAAAGAGATCCAAGTGCTCGCCAAAATAGCATTTAAAGATCGCTCTGGATGAAAAAGCCAGTAAAAAGAAACATTTGATTTGAATTAGCCACCCAGAAGAAAAGTGTCTTCCCAGAGATAGTGACCAGCCTGGCGCATTCGTTGATTATCATTTCTTTGACATTCGTCTAGAAAAACTTTATATCCAATCATTAATTCGGATTCCTTTTGATACAAGTGGTAAGTAAAAATTAATTACTATTTTGAAGTGACCATCGGCAAAAAAAGGTTCGATTGTACAAAAAATGCATAGACAGAGAAAAGATAAATTTAACTTTTAAGGAGTGTGGAAATGATCTTTTATTCCCTTTTCTAATTCCTGGGTAGTCTGGTCGATCGAGAGATCCCAGCATAGAGCAAGCTAATAGATAAGGATTAATGACCGAAAATCCCTTTTGTTTTTGCTTCGTCATCTGGAAGTGGATTTGTCACTCCAGCCCAGGGAGCGGGCTGTGGTCAGCTACTGAGAGAGAGAGAGAGAGAGAGAGAGAGAGAGAGAGAGAGAGAGAGATTAGTACTGCATAGATTGAGTTATGGTGCGAGGTGAGGTGTAAAGAGAGTTGGACTTAAGGGGTGGCTTGATCCCTCTGACCACTCTCAAGAGGGGGCTGGACAACCCCAAATTTAGAAAACCACTTGAGTAAATGTATTTTTATATATGGAAATTTAGAAAAGGTTGATATTTAGGGTAGAAGACAACCAAACCCATACCCTTGTCTACCCCACCCTTGCCAGACCCCATATAATCTGGAGATTTGGGACAAATAAACAGAGAGACACACGGTGAGCCCCCACAGTACTGCTACTGGAAGGGGATCCCAGTGTCATTTGATTATGACAACAAACGGGAAGGATTAAAACCGCTGTATACAACAAATCAAACCAAACCGTTGTTACATTTTTAATCTGAGTTAATTCTTTATTCCAAGGGATTCTTGTTTTTTGTATAGCTCTCAAATTGTCAAGCCGTCTTTACTTCAGTTTGCTTCATCAGCGATCTTATCACCCTTTGAGATCAAAAATACAACGTGGCAAGAGAGTGAATAGTTGTGAATAGACAAACGACAGCTGAGTCGATTGGAACCGCGCTACCAACACGATGCCAGTGACAAAACGAGTCAGCTAAATGGTAACCATGGCGGTCTGAAGGAACTGAAGACCGACGAGCAGCATGGCATTATTTGTTTATGGGTGACCAAGGATCGACTAGGGGATTACAGAACAAACTCAAACATCTCCAACCGGACATGCATTGGTTTTTCTCAGACGAGAACAATTTCTGTCAGGATAAGATGGTGAATACACAGAACAATCATTGGCTTGCTGTGTCACCAAAAGATGTACCGAGCCAACGTTTTGCCAACCATTCCAATAAACAATACAAATATACAAATTCACTTTCATATGTTTAAGCTTTATTAAAATCATAATTAGTGCTTTTTTGTAAGAATAAACATTGCCGAGGGAGTGAAGGTAGTTAAAATATTAGCGGTGTTAAGGGAAAAACGATCTTTTTCACATACAGTTTTTTGTGAGCACGAAGATTAAAAATTGTCTAAAATTAATTGTTGACGTATCTCCTAACAGTAGCACTGGTCATTGTTCTAGCCTAGCTAAAAACCAGAATTTAAAATGCTGTTTTTTTTTTATTATTCTTTTAGCAAAAAAGAATAAAAGCTGCTTATTTTTGCATCAGCGAAAGGGAAGGTAAAATAACATTGTGAGAATTTATCTCTCCCGCACTTGTTAGTATGAATTGTGAAAATGTTTTCCGGACATTAAACCAAAAAGGTCTTAACTCCAAAAACTGGTTATTTTGCCTGTGCATAAAATCCTTGAAATGTTATTTGCAACAGCAGAAAACAACGTTTTTAGGTCCCGGGATAAACATTAAGAGGTTAATCGCCGCCATAAATACTAATATGAATGAGAGATATGCGTTAAAATTATTTCTTAGGGAGCTAACGACAGGTCCTTTGAGGAAAAGAAAGCGCTTTTGATTACGCGCTCCCATCTCGAAACTTCATGAAGAATGCATCTTCTGTGGTTATTTATCATCAGGAATGGACATCAGAAAGAGTGTACATTTTTCCCCACGAACAATATTTGGCGGAATCATGTGAGTCCGGGTAAAAAATAATGGGACAAAACATGGAACTCAAACAAGCCACAATTAAAAAAATGTATTAACAAGACATGTTACAGAAGTATAAAGAAAGAAATGGATCTATAATAAGTTATTAACAGTTCAATACAATCTTCGGTGTGTATCTTTGAAGTACTTACATGCCTGGTGTCTATCAGAGGTAAAGAAAACGTGCGTTGTCGCTACAAAAGTTAAAGAGTAAACTAAACAGAGCTTTTCAAATATCGCGGCGCCTGTGATTATCGTCACGGGGCGTTAATCCAACAGTATAAATAGAAGTTCCATAAAATTTTTAAGATTCGTTGGGAATATATATGTGGTGTGACACAAAAGTTCAGTGAATTTGATTATAAAAAAAAGTATTTACAAGTAATTACCACTGTCTTCTTTGAATTAGTCCTCCTGGTCATGCATGCAAGTATCTCCCAAAGAGTAGCCGGCAAACTTTCGTAAAGTAAAACCTTGATTTAATGTCACTCTGTCTAAGGAACATTAAGGAGCCACTCTTAAAATCACATAGGCCATAATGAGGACATTTTGTTCCATGTTTGCTACTCTACGGATTTAAGAAATTAAAAATTGAGAAACTAAACTGTAAAGTGATTTGGCTAACGCTGATTTCATTAAATTTCATTACTGAATTAAAAAAATAAATAAATAAAACTAGCAACGCAGAGAGATATCGAAAAACTCAACTGGGTTTTAAAAGCTCGTGTTGAAAAATTTACATATGAAGTTCTACTACAGATTTTCTAAGTTTCGGCAGGGACCGCGCTAAGGTCTCGTAACCCCCCCACTCCGGGAAACATTCATACGGGCCCTTCCTCTCGACTACATGTCGATTTCAAATTTTCCCAACCTCGGGTCCACAAACTCTTGAAGGAAAATTGGGAAGGTAAAGAGCAGCGCTTTTTAAAAATTACCAAAAATCAGGGAATTATCCAATTTAAATGAAAACTTCAGTACATATTCATTAATTATTTACTTTAATAATGATTATTTTTTTTTTATTTTAAAAAATCTGATAAAACGTTATTCTTCTTAACCACCAATATTTTCATGACTTAATTTTACTCGAAAAATGTTTAAGTCGCAAATTTTTAAATTTCCATAAAAATTAATCGCCAACACATCTCTGCTAAAAAAAAAAAGAAAAGAAACAAGTTTTACAAAGATTCCAACACAGCACAAACGGAATTGTCTTAAAAATTTATTTTAAAAACAGTATTTCAGTTTTCGGGAAATTTTTTCATGTGTTGAAATATTTAAACATTTTTACTTTTTAAGCGATCATTTTCTTGATTTTATCTTTCTAGAAATGTAAAAAATAAGGACTAGAAATTTTATTTTAATTACTGGCCGGGGACTTCTACTTAGTATTACTATTAGTAAAAAAAAAAAAATCAAAGATCCTCCTTAGTGGATGATTTGGGAATAAAAAATAATTTTACCGAGATATATTACACTCTTAATTGATTTAAAAGAACTGTTCAGAAAAGGCAATTACAATTTAAAAAAATAAGCGCTACTGAAATTAACACTTCAGCTAGCCCCCGCCTCCCCATTAGGCATGGAGCCCGCGCGCAGTTGAGAGGTTTGGGGTAGTAAGCACCAGCCTTGTTAATTATTATAGTTGATGATTGCCAATATAACTTAGGTAAAAAAAAAAGTAAAATTACAAAAAAACCCCAAAAAAACAAAACAAAAAAAAACGCTGCTGAAACGCGTCGAGGGTTTCTACGTAGTACGCACCGCACCGGCCATGCAGATACACGATGTATATTATTAGTTGATGACTGATAATGTAAGGTCAGTTAACAAATAATTAAAAAAATATGGCGAATGGCCATAAAACAGTGCTGAAAAATAATAGCACGGGCCGCAACGAGGCACCAAAAAACGCACCTCCTCGATCTGGGGTTAAGGGAGTAAGACGCGCCGGCCCCGTGTCTCGGTTATGAGTGCAAAATAAATTACAACGTAGATTTCATTTACAGAATCACTTCAAAAAATCCTCCAAATATGAGCAAGGAAAAGTGTATACGATTGTTTTATTTGGTATTTTATACAATTTTGCGTAACATTGGACATATGCGGGCTGGCTTGGATTTAACAAAATGTGGTGTTCTACAAATATTGCTTCTTTACGAAATGAGGAATTTATTGGATTTGAAGAACACGCCCCTTCCCTAATTAGTTCTACTTTCGGCTTGCACATGTTTTTCAGATTCCTCCAAATTTTCGCAGAATCTTATATATATACATCACATTTTATTTATTACCGTATTTTGACGGCATATAAGACGCATGGGTGTATAAGACGCACCCCAATTTCAGCAGGGCAAATCAAGAAAAAATTAGTAATTAAATTAGTAAACCTACATATGGCATATAAGAACGCAGGGGAATTTTAAAAATATTTTTAGTAAAAAAAAGGTGCGCCTTATATACCGTCAAATACGGTAAGTCATTCGAACGCGCCGGCCCGTAGACGTATTTCGCATAGTTAACTAAAGGTGTCTGAAATATATCTGAACAAATAGTATGCTTGAAAAAATAATTTTATTTTTTATAAATAACCAGTGTTACATATGTGAATGCTCGGATAAGTTTCTTGACAATGGATATTTGTTTTATTTTTCATTACATGAAACATGCATAATGTAAAAAAAAAACTTTGCATTTTTCTCTAAATTCAAACAGCTTGTCATTTCTCTACGTACTTAGATATATTTACAGAGGTAGAGTAAAATAAACATAAACACACACACGCAGATAGATAGATAGATAGATAGATAGATAGTGGGGACAGAAAAATCAACACTCTATGGTGATTGTCACTTTCAAGCCATAAACGATCATCAGACCATGTGCAACTCCTCTTTATTTAGGCTCAATATATAGCCTACTGGGAGGTTATGAGAAATAGGGGGTGCAGGGAAAACTGTTTTTTTTTTCAGATTTAGGGTTAAGTTTTTAAATTATTTATAGTCCTGATCGTAATTATGTTTATTTCATTTTATTTATTTCTTATTTTTGGTTATTACTATTTTCATTTTTTTATTTAGTTGATGATCTCTTAAAGCGTGAAAGTGGCAATAACCATACAGTATTGATTTCTGTATTAACACTGTATCTACAAACGATCTATGGCTGATATTGAGCACTCTTCCCTCGTAAATATAAAAAAACAATTTAAGCAATATACGCGCGTCTGCACACACTCACGCACAGTTTTATATATATATATATATATATATATATATATATATATATATATATATATATATATGTCATCTTTTGTGAAAATAAAGGCCTTTGCCAGCCTAACAATGAGCCATTGTATTTCTGGCAATATTTCTAGGCACAAATAATAAATAAGCAAAAAAGGGAGGTTTGCTCGATAATTAACCGACTGGCAAGATATATCAACGTAGAAGATTGAATTTCTGTGGAGCACTTCCCAGAGTTCAACGGCGTTGACTCTTTTACGTAAAGAGGGCACGTTGTAAAACTGGGCGTCTCTCTCTATTCGCTAGGTCTTTATATGCAGCTACTGTGGAAAAAATTGTTTCCTTTATACAAACTGACCATCCGCAAACTTGAAAATAGACATGGATTAAATCTTAATTTTCCTCGCGCCCGCGAAGACAATCTCTATAAAACAGTTCTTTTTTATATATATATATATATATATATATATATATATATATATATATATATATATATTGTGTATTTAGGCAGCAATCCTTCATTTATACACATTTCATTAAAGACGACAGGCAAGGTACTACGATTAAGCTTTTGATTTAATTTTTCTGGAGTTCGAACAAGTTTTTTCTTTTCTGGACACAGAATGTGAAGAAACTGTCCAAATGTTCTGTAATTCCGATCGATTTCGGCTATACTTTTAGCCATTATCAAGGATGATTTTATTATTGCTTTTTAACTGGGTGTATGGGTTGTGTGTATGTTTTTAGTGTTATGGGGATATTTTATTTTCCGAACACAGTTAGCACATTGTGGCCGTGTTCGTAATTAATATTATTGAGTGCTGGCCTTTTCTTTTTTTATTATCAAGGCTTCCATTATTTTTAATCGTTTTTTACATGTGGATGAGGTTATTATGCTGGTATTTTCTACTAGTATGTTTCGGATGGAGTCTGGTAAGTTTGTGTGTGCGTTTAAATGGGTTTTAATGGAACACAAAATAATTAAATAAAAAACTTAATCGCAGTACATTGTCGTCTTTTATGAAACATATATATATATATATATATATATATATATATATATATATATATATATACATGTGTGTGTGTGTGTATACATACACACACAGACACATGCACGCACGCGCACACACACAAACATATATATATATATATAATAACCGCCAAAATAGACTACCCAAAAAATGCACCACTGACCCGTATAACCGAGAAAAATAACAGCACTCGTGGCCTGACGATTGCGTCTAGCATGAAACAGACTGTTGCCTCTAAGTGTTGACTTCTATATTCACTTATTTATATATATATATATATATATATATATATATATATATATATATATATATATATATATATATATGTTCGAATTCCAGTCGGATCCATTACATACATTAGATCTTTGGGAAACGTATGAATCTCTTCTTCTCCCTCCAGCTATGGGTAAATAGCAAGAGAGACTGGGTTCTATAGCCTTGTATGGCAACTGGTCTAGGAGAAGGACAACTCTGGGTTCAAAACCTGCGGAGGGTCGTTTGGCGACCTTGTGGCACGTAGTGCACCAGGTCTCTGTATTCGGCCCTTCAAAAAGTGTGGATGGTTCTGCACAAAACCTTCACCACTATATGACCCTCATACGTCGAATTCGTCGAGATCGTCGAATATATATATATATATATTTATATATATATATATATATATATATATATATATATATATATATGGCTATATACATAGATATGTGTATATGCATATACATATATGCATGTATATATATGTATGTATATATATGTATGTATGTATATATATGTATATATGTGTGTGTGTGTGTGTAGTGTTTACAAGTAGCTGAAATCAAGTAAAGGAAACATAATAATACCGATCTAAGGAAAAGAAATAGGAGTAGGAAAATCATTTGGTACCCCACCCCCATTTAATCAATTGTTCAGTAATAAGTTAGGTTAGAAGTTCCTCCATTTAATTGATAAACATTTCCCTAAAAGTAATCCTCTTAGTAAAATATTTAACAGAAACGCACAGAATCCCGTCGACTCTACGGGAGGCATCAACAATTTACAATATACAAGTTTAGTAAAAAAGAGTGTTAGAGGGTAGGATTGTGAATTTTGAAGCTGGAAAGTTTCAATATTCCCCAAAACTAGACACCACCAATAGCACTTCTAACAACAACGACAACACTCAATTCATAATCCTGCTCTCCTTTTACTAGACTTGTAAATATATATATATATATATATATATATATATATATATATATATTAATCTTCTCACTTTGGCACGTTCAGCATGCAGTGATGACACCAAAAACTTGTGGCATTGTGCTTGACAACCCTATATATACGAAGTACTAACTCAGAATTCATAAAATTTAACAATGAACAAAAAATTACTTTTCATAACACATAATTATAAACGTCTCTTTTCCATACATTTTGTCCACTGTTCTCATAATGTTCACAAAAGTGTACGGAAAATGTCTGTATTACTTGCAATTCGCGCGCTCTGTTTAAATTCCCTGAACATTTGGGAACCACCTCGTATATATGTACATAAGTGTTTTCGTGTGTTTCCATATGTGTGTGTGTTAGTATTAAATGATTAGTTTTTAGTTTAGTCATTGTCTACAGTTCAAACCTTAGTGTTATTCCAGTAACTCACCAGTGATATTTTGTTCTTCAAAACCGCTTGATGGTGAACAGTGCTAGAATGTTATAATCGAAACAGTCTGGTATGTAGAATGTGACTCTTTTATCACAAAGTTATACTATAAGAATACACTTTTGCGTAGTGGACTCGGAAATAGCGATGATGAAATCAATTTTGATCGTAAAATATTCGCTTTTCTCCTCTCTTGGTACGTATTTCAGTTTCAGCTTTCGTTCACTGAACTGTTGCGTTGAGGTTTGATAAGCGATAAAATCACTTTTCTAAATCTTCCATTAAACCAACCGTAGAGGATTGGGTTGATAACCGTTGACGTCATCGAAATAAGTAACATGGTGGCGAAAAGAAGCTGGAGAGTTTCAGTATTGAGCGCATCGAGAATGTTCGGATCGAAGTCAAGGAGCAGGTTGACTAGAGCGAGAGGCAGCCACGTGACCATATAAGTAACGGTAACTGCTGAAAGTAAGTAAGTGTTTTTCTGGGTGCGGATCAACTTATAGTTTTGAATTCCTTTGTAGTAATATCGAGTAGTCATCCGAAGTCGTAAATAGATGCAAATAAGGACGCTGAACAAGAAAATCAAGCAAAAGGGAATAAGAAACTGCAGAAGGAAGACGAACACGGTATAACGTTGTCGCCACAGAACGGACATCCATAACTCTAGACAGACTGGGTAGTGGAAAACTCCGCCGTGGATATAAATCTGCTGGACATTGTGAGAGACGTACATGGGAACTGAACAAGTAGCTGAAACTAGCCAAATAGCTCCAATGATGAGAGAAACAGACCATTTTTCAGTGACTTTCTGGTAGTTTTTGACCACATTTAAATAACGGATGATGGAAATGGCGACAATCGTGTGTGAAGAAGCGAAGATGTGCAGAGATTGTAGAAAAGGGACAACTTTACAAATGAAGTCACCCATTATCCAAATATTATGAGTGAGTTTGATGACCGAGAAAGGCATACAAACTATGCAAATCATCATATCTGATACAGAAAGGTTAATAAGCAGCCAGCACTTTGGATCTCTATGACTTTTCTTGCGAGCAAATGTCATGCAGAACAAAATGTTTCCAAAAACGCCGAATATATTAACTAAAGAATAAAAGATAAGCAAGACGTTCTTGCGCACGCCATGGAGCATATAAGTATTTTGTAGATAATCGTTAGCAATTCTGGCAAAGTCGAGGCTGAAGTTGGTTTCACCATTACGTCCAGATACTTTAGGAGCCGGAGGCAAAAGTGTGGTATTGTTTATATCGTTGATATAAAAAGAGGCATTCATTGCCAGCCAATGGATGATCATTTTCCCCCAATGGAATCAGAACGAGGCTTATTGTTGAATTGATCAAATGAAGGCCTTTTTGATAGCTAAAAAATACAAATTGGAACTTTTTAAAAGAGAGAATTCTGTATGTAAACACATTCAAACGAATCATATTCAGCTAACATAGTGTTGTAGGGGAGTTATAACTCTGTGTAAATAATTATAACACCCCTATCATTAACAAAAATACTCGTTGAAATTGAGAAATAGCAGGACATGAAAACAACGAAACAAGTATTATTTATTATTTGGTGATAGTGGTTGTTATGTGAGATAAAATAATATTGTGTAAATTTTATATAGTCTTTCTTCTATGTTTTTTTTTTATATAATGTATGTTATATAATGCGTGTAGTGAGTGTCCAGATAATTGAAGAAAAAGAAATGTCTGGAGTTTTCTTACCTTGAATTTTGGTTTCGAGTATTTAAGAAATGTTGTTGCTTGAAAAAGTAAAGTAACCGACATTTTTGTCACCCCTCATGTTTACTGCTTCTCCGATTGTGAGTGTCACATGTTTGTGTGTGTTGAGGAGAAGAGTGGGGTTGATTCTCATTAGTTTAGAAAGGGTGAATCGTATTAATGAAAATTATATATATTTTATTATAATTATTTGTGGTAGTATAATTAATTTTATTTTTAATGGATACGACAAAGTGACAGTATAATTAATTTATATTTATTTTTTATGGCCACCTCAGTGTAAAGAATTGTTAAAATAAAGGGATACTGTTAAATGAAATAATGATCGTCTGAAATAACTGTATAAATAATAAGCTATTGCGTAGAGTAAATATTATTTATATATCATTTCAACATTGTGACGTGAACGGGTGTAAAAACATTCGTCTAAAAACATTCAAATAAATGAATTCAACAAGCAGAGTATTTTAAATATGTATTTATATACAGAACAGAATAATCATGAAATAAAAAGAGTGGAAAATATGTGATTAGCTGTAGAGCGTGTGTGTTCATGCGTATGATACGCTACGTGGTTCGGTTGAAATTAAGTCGGTTCGCCAGGTGAAAGTTTCCTCGCCGAGGAATCGAGTCCGTCTTGTCGCTGCTGCAGCCTATAGGCGTGAGAGAGCAAAAACAGAGAAACGGAGTTTATACCCTTTTCTTTTATACCGTCTATTACCACGTCAACTATTATACGTTAAGAAAGATCTCCTGGCAGATGAGGTGGAGTAATCCTACAGCTGAATCAAATGTAGATATTGAACAAATATATATGAAGTGTCCGGAAAATATTCAGCCATTTAATATTACCGATAAAATAGCTTTCTATGGAAAATGGCGCCTTGATAACCACTTCGAAGTACTGCCTTTAGGGTGTGATCGCATTTATCCCAGCGTCCGCTTTCTCGATCACAGTCAGCTGATACGTCGTATTCTCTTTAATCTTTCCAGAGCGTTGTGAGGGTGATTTAGCTACGGGAAAAGCCAGAAGTTGCATGGAGACAAATCTAGACTATGGAAAATAGTTGTTAAATCTGTTTGGAGTGATGTTTTACCAAAACATTCGTAGATGAGACAAAACTTCGATTCACTCAATCATTTTAGACACGATAGTCAAACAGTACGCATACTCAATAAGTGGTGATTCACTGTCGTCTGAGTAACCTAATAGGAGAGTACGGAGTACATTCTCATACAATTAGTTGCCAAGTTATATCAACGCTGCGCAACCGGTTCTGGGGATATTCAAAATGACTGGATTCGTTCCGGGCAGATTTCATATATATATATATATATATATATATATGTGAGAGAGAGAGAGAGAGAGAGAGTTGAGAGAGAGATGGTTGCCGAAGATCGGCAAGATTAAGCGAACAGCGTTTAACGACCAAGACATCATGTCTCGTCTCAGTTTCAATCTTCTCACTATAAACCCTTTGTTTAAAAAATCTTCACATTCTTAGATTCTGTATATAAGGAACGTTATGTTGAGTTTAGTTAGATAAACTCGCTCCTACTTGGGTACTTCGACGTGGTACAAAAGTCATCAAGCTTGTCTCACAAGTTAATTGTAACTGAATAGTGTACTCAACTCTCACTAGGTGCTGCATACTTGCAGCCTTGTGCCACATCTAAGCTACACTTAGTAAATAAGATTTGTCCTTACTTGATGCGTCTTTTGCATTAACTGAAATCTATTTCTAAAACGCAGTATAACAAAAATTACCATAAAATCAGAATAAGATTTTTTGTAGAAGCAAGAAAACTGTCATGTTGAGAAAAAATACATAAATAAAGACATATTTATAGGATAAAATAAAAAATAATGCAAGTATAGAAACACAAAAATGAAATAATTGCAAAATACACTTTTACGTACTTTTATCTTTTTTCACTGTTACTTTTTCATTCCCACTTTTAGTTCGATGATTTACCTTGTGTCGTTAACGTTTGTCTTTAAATTATATCGTGACTGATTAGCAATAACTTCCGGTTCACTTCTGAGTTCGCTGTGAATTCTGTAAAAATAAATGGAATGAAAAGCCCCATATCATAAATCAATAAAAACAAGGTCTTAAATTCAGAAAATGATTTTTCATTTCTATGTTGTTGTTTTTTTTTTTTTTAATTTCAAGCTCATATTGTGTATTTTTAAGCATGATTATCCAGCTTATTATTTATTTAGTTAGTTAGATTTCACTTTTAAACAGTTCACTCTCGGAACTTCAATAACGTCAATAAAACATAAAAAAAACAGTACCCGTCGTTAAGAAATGCTTGTATATTACTTTTTTAATGCTAAATAAGTAATGTTTGTTTCAAATCAAATTAATTTAACTTTAAATTTGTTAATTTTACTCAAATAACGAGTCATAAATATAGATTTTATTTCTGGAAGATTTTTAAAACCGGTAATTTTGTTTTGTTTAATTTCTTAAAAGTGAGAAAATGGATGCTTGTAAGAAGATTTTCTGAAATCGACGAAAAAATTGAGATTCCGATCTTTATAATTTGTTTGAAATACACCAGAATATTTTACTTACTGGAAATAGTAAATTTAGCTTTCAATTAAAGCTAAAGTGAAATCTTCAAGAATACTTTTTCATTTTTAAAAATTCATTTTAAACCTTGTCGGAGTTAACTCCTCCTTCAGTCCGTTAACCCTTTCACCAGGGGTCTCTCTTCCCTGGCTATAAATAGCCGCTGACCCTTGGCCTCTCTCTCTTTTTTTCCTTCAGGCCTGTGCACTGACACCTTGAGGTAAAATTCTCTTTTTCCTTCAGGATTTCAGCTATCAACCTCGAAATGTAGGCGTTAACAAGGGATAGCGTGGAAACACGCTAAGCACAATACGCACACACGCACGCACATACAGAATATTCACACACGCACGCACATACAGAATATTCACACACACTTCGTCCTTTGTACTGTTTCCATGTATTGTAACTTGTTATTAATATATATTTGTATATACATATATTATCGGTCTTGTGTTTTGTTTGCTTTCTTTGCCTTCCTCTTTGGACTTAATCAAAGTCCAACCTTTTTATGTAGTTGGGCCCGGCGGGCAGGAGTATCTGAACCTTACATGCGTTTCTTCTACGTCTGACTTCTATCAACAACATAACAGCCACGCCATGAACCCTCAACAAGTGGTAACCGCCACGGCCCACTACAACCTTATCGAAAATTCAGTGGAGGTACCTACTTTTATGGTGATTTGTTTTTCCTTTTTTTATATTACTCTTCTTTTTACCTTTTTACCACACCTTTTCGACGTCGCTATTTTGTATTTCTATGCTGTACATTAATTTTAAGAATAAATTCCACTCGGGCAGCTTCTTCCTAACAACTACTTCTTTGTGGAACCAATTCCCAAGAGGATCACCCTCGATCACTACAATCTTAACCTTCAAGTGTAGAGTTAACCGATATCTTCCCCACATATCTGCATAAACTATGCCGCTTACTCTGTAACCCTCTACCTCGAATGGCTCTTGGGCCTTTTACAAGGGTGAACATCATTGCAAACAAAAAATCACGCTAAACCTCTTTAAACGTTTCACCAAGTTAATGTATCATATAAAATCAAATTTTAGAATTTGTTATCAGCTAAAAGTAAATTTAAAAAGATTCCAACACCCTCAAATTACATCTGTCGGAGCCCTGATAAAAAGAAAAATTCCTCATAGACGTTTTCACTCTGATGGCTTATAACACACTGGAAATTAGAAACCAACAGAAGCTTTACAGTGAAATCTATTTCTAACTCAAAACACGATATTTAAATGTATTAGCTTAGTGTATGTAATATTTTCTATTCAAACAAGGCTGTTAAGCAAGAGTGTTACACAAGATAAAATATGAAAAATGCAAATCAATCATTTATCAAATTCTATTTCACAGCAATGCACAAATTATTTACAATGCATATATTTGAATACATTCCAATACGGTTTATTGGATATAAAGTCAATGCAGGTGTTGCTTGCATGAAGGAGTGTTGAAACGGTTTGGGCTTAACCAAGAAGATATTTAGGAAATCTTGTTTGGTCAGATTTCAGGAAATAGTTCGGGTTGAGTATTTTTAACACCTCGTAGTATAGTCAATTATGACACAATTCAAAGAATGTAAGAATGTACATGACTCCCATTTTCCTTAAAAACGCTGTTATTGGATTCTGAGTTTCGCAACACTGCCCTCTTGGTAATTCTGACCACTCCGCGGTAGCTATTGATATTTCGTTCCAATCATCTATTAAACAGAAACCCCCTATCCTCAAGACCTCTTTCTGTTACCAGCATGCTGATTGGTACTCACGCCGTGATTTTCTTCGTGACGCCCTTTGGACTGTCATCTTTAACCTCACAACTGAAAATTGCGCCATTAAGGTTTCTTCTTGGGTTAAAGCCGACATGGACACTTTCCTCCCTTCTCGGAAATACCAGGTGAAACCTCAGTCCTATCCATAGCTCAAACCAGCATGCTCGGCCGCTATAGCACACAGGAACCACTATGTTCGGCTATACCAGCGTGACGGCTCTCGTCACAACCAGCGCCTATTCATTGCTGCTCGCAATAAATGTAAACGAGTCTTCGAAGGAGCAGTGTCCCTTTCTTCCGAAAGAACGAGGTACCGCATAGTCTCTAACAACATTGTCTCTCGTAATTACTGGCGGCTCTGTAACAGGGCATTAAATAAGTGTGAAGTCGCCGTTCCTCCCTTCTTCAATCAATATGAGTTTTCATCCTCTGCTGATGAAGCTGAATGCTTTTCCCGTAAATTCTCCTCAAATTCTACTCTTGACTCATCCGGAATATCCCTGCCTAACTTCCATCCTAAAACTGAGTCTCTGTTGAGTGATAGGCATATAACCCCTTCCATGGTTTCTGCTATCATCTCTAACCTAGATCTCCACAAACCATGTGGACACGATGGTATCCCTGTAATAGTCATTGTGTTCCTAAATTGGATCCTGTTTTCTCTAAGCTGTATAATAAATTCCTCGCCGCCTACTGCCTGCTGGTAGTCATCATCTGTTGCTCCAGTTTTTAAGAACTCTGGAGAGCCGTCCGACTCTTTCAGCTATCGGCCTATTAGCCTTCTACCTCTTTTGGGGGACCTCCGAGAGGCCCTAATCAATGCTGAATTAGTTCATTATCTCTCATCGTAGGGCCTTTTCACAGACAAGTAATAAGGTTTTCGTTTCTCCTGGTTAACTGCTGATGTACTGACGATAATTGCGGAAAGAGTCTATCATGCTCTAGATAAAAACGGTGAAGCCCGAGCTGTAGCATTGGACATCTCGAAAGCCTTTGACAGAGTCTGGCATACAGGTCTTCTTCACGAGCTGAAAAGTTACGATGTATCCGGACACTTTTTTGAACTGATCCAGTCTTAGCTATCAAATCGTGAATTGAAAGTTATCCTGAACGGCCACTCATCTAGATCCTTTCATACTAACGAGGGTGTCTACCAGGGCTCCATCCTTGATCCTACTCTGTTTTCAATTTTCATTAATAACCTTGATGACATCAGCTCTCAACTTGGTATCTACGCTGATGACACAACAATTTACTCTTGCCTCGATAGTAAGGCTTATCAGTCCGACAATGTCAAAGTGGCAGCCGATGTCCAAAACGACCCCAAGTTCGTCGTTAACGGGGGCAAAAGATGACTTGTGAATTTTAACGCCTCCAAAACTAAATTTTTCTCAATCATCTAAGACACTCCTCTCTGGCTTCCATCAGCATGGCTGATGCTAACCTCCAGGAAAGTGATTTGTTGCACCTTCTCGGGCTCACGTACCCTGCTGACATGAAGTAGAAAGACTATATTGAATCCATTGTTAGGTCAGCTGTCAAGAAAGTCGGTTTACTGTTTTGGCGAGACAGTTTTTCTCTCCAGAATCTATCTTACGTATCTATGTCTATCATTCATCCATGCTTAGAATGTCTGCCACATACGGTCCTGTGCCCCTTCTATTTACCTTGAGCTCCTTGAAGAAGAACAAACAATATTATTGGTCCTGATCTGGCGGCTCGGATTCAGTCACTTTCCCGCCGTCGTAAGTTTGCCTCTCTATATCTTCTCTATAAATACTTTCATGGTAATTGTTTGGATGAGCTCTTCGCTAATATGGGGACTAGTTAGTATTTTCATAGAGACAAAGTGGTATTATGGTGGTTGAAGTAAGAAAGGTACGAATGAATGTGTTGTTTTGGTGTAAGGAATATTGTTCGTACGATTGGGTCAGTGTTTGCGGCTAGCTAAATTATAGTTAAAACAGAAGAAGACCGTCCTTTCCCCAATCCCTTTTTTGGCCTTGTGCCACATTTCTGTATTAAACAGAATAAATATCGCTCTTCGCTATAGTGGATGTAGTAAGAAAGGTAAGTAAGAATGTGTTGTTTTGGTGTTAGGAATATTGTGGTATGTTTGGGTCAGTGCTTGTGGCTAGCTAGGCTTAATGTTAAGACAGAAGAAGACCGTTTTTTCCCCATTCCCTATTTTGGGCCTTGTGCAACATTTTCTGTATTGAAGCGGAAATAAATATCGCTCTTCGCTATGGTACTTAGAGTTTTTGAATTTAAGCGTAGTAATAGACTGGCATTTAGATCTCATCAATTTACAGGTGAGCTGGCCAGATGTAGCCGTAAATTCTATGCTAACAGTTTCTTCTCTCGAACTTCTCGCTTGTGGAACTCCCTTCCGTCTCCATGCTGTTCTGTCAACTTTAATCAGCAAAAATTTAAACGCAATGTCAATCGCTATTTACTCTCCTCCTGATCACTCTCTTCTCTTTCTACTCATCATTATTGTTTCTGTTCCTAATTCTTCCACACCATGTAACCCATCGTGTTTTAGTAGCATTACTGCCTTGCATGAGATGATACCGATTAAAAAATGTGTTAAAGAAATTTTAAACTAAAAGTGAATAGAGCGTGTGCAGAAAATGTGTTTAAATATAGTCTTATATAGTTGACGAAATTAGCTTCTTTAAAGAACGTCTCGGAAAGTTGAATCTTCTCACTGATGAGAAGAAGCGGATGAGGTGGTGTAATTATCTTGTTGATCGTTTTAGTACTCAAAGCTTAGACCTAGTAGTAAGCACATTATTTAGCACGAATTTTAATTAAAAAGGTCAAAAACAGTTTCTTTAAAAATGCTAAATATGTTGTGCAAATTAATAGTGCAGCTTACATACATTAAATTTGTCAGGAACTTACCTCGTCATTTGTTCTTATCAATGTAAGAATTTGAAAGTTTTTGGTTTCATAGTTAAAAAATATTTATAAAAATGTACCAAAATTGTGACGAAAAATACTAGTTACAACAATAATATATCATCTGCCTAGTCTTCAGTTTGTTTCTATTGTTGTTCGGACTGAATCTATTTGGTGACTTACTAACTTACATCGATCATATCAACCCTCTTTATACTCTTGTATTGTATCAGATCATTGAAAACGTTTGTGTTCGATTTTCATTATTATAAAATGATCGCAACTTGACACTTGGCGTTGTTGTGTCTCTTACACTAAACCGGGTGTTGACTGCTCGATGTCAAGGCAGAATGCAAAAATGCGTCTCTGCGCATCATGGCTCGACGCATGTTTTCGGTATTAAATGAAAAAATGAACTATATATATTGGCCAGTAGAAATAACCACCGCTAAAAACCCAGGCTGTGATTTGGAGCCGATATGACGTATATAAATTCCCTGATTCAACGCCGAAAAGGGCACAGAGACAGAGGGAGAGACCCGGCTGAGATGTCGACATGCAGAGGTTGGTCAAAAACGCCGCAGGCAGACTGAACGCGATACTTTTTAACTTTCATCCTTCGTCGCCACCGTCTTCACAAAACATCAACCGACAGCCATGACCAACATTCTTTCTCTTTCTTTCTTCCTTCCACACTCTGTCGCCTTTTACAACAGCTGGCTTTGTATATATGTAAATAAATGTATAATTTATTTACCCAAATGCGATGTATTGCTTTTCCTCGAATTTACGTTTGCTGAGGCGAAAAAGAAGTTAACCTCTTCAGCAGTAACAACAATAACAAGTTCTGCCTTCCAGGTTATTCATTCTTCGTTTCTGTTTTGGGTCCGATTTCTGGTATGTTGTAGATTAAAATTTTGCATCGTTCAGCTGCGAGTAAGAATTGTTGAATGTTGACGTTTTGCTTACAAATGAATGCCTTAAAGATGAAGCATGAACAATTGCACATTCGCAATATTATGCTCTATGAATTTCGGAAAGGAGTGTCGGAACTCTGACAAAAACACCGGAAGGATTATATGGACTGTGTTTCAGCTCTTCGGATAGTCAAAAAGTGGTTTCGCAGTGGTTTCGTCAGGCTGATTTTAACCTAAACGATCAACCACGCTCCGGGCGACCTTTCGACGTCGATCAAGACGCTGTTTGACATCGAGAGGAATAAACCGAAGATTTCGACGGAAGAGATTGCTAAGAGTTTGAAAATCGATATCTCAACATCCTTTCGCCATTTGAAGAGACTTGGGTTCAAGAAAAACGGCCGATTTTGACTAATCGAAAATATGTTATTTTCCACCAAGACTGCATATTGCAAAACAGACTTTGCAGAAGTTTAAAGAGTAGAAATGGGAAACCCTCCAGCACTATTCTCCTGACTTTGCTTCTTTGGATTTTTATTTGTTCCAGTAACTACAGAACAATTTAAAAGAAAAAAAACCTATTTGTACAGTCAGTCAAAAACTACATCATAACCCTCTTCCAACAAAAAAAAACAAAAAATAACTCAATGTTTCTGCGAAAATAGCATCAACAAGCTTGTAAAAGGATGACAAACAGTCATAAAAACAATGGATACGATATACTTGACTAAGAAATGTTTTTTTTTTTTTTTGTGAATATGTCGTTTTTATTTTTCTAATGGGGCACGGACTTTTGCAATGATCAAATGTTTCGGGCGATTTTGTTTCGACATTACTATTAATATTAACGACCTTTACAAAAATCACACTAAATTATTTCTACAGTACATCGAACTTTGCATGCTTTTTTTTTACGTTGCGCAAAATAATTCTACATATCTCGTGTACAAATGTATTTTACCGTGCATGACCCAAATGGAAATAAAACAATTTAATGCAATAAGTCATGACTAAGTTTTTATGCATAAAAGCATAAAATATTTCATATGAAAACTGAACATGGTAATACATTGCAAAAACTGAACAAAAGAAAAATAAATAAATTAAAAAGTATTGTAGTGTTAGCTAGATTAATATTAGATATAAAAGAAGATCTTTCTACATGTGGCTATCAAATGAGATATTTATAAAATATAAGGTCAAGCATATTAGGGCCAATGAGAGAATACAAAAATGCCTACCCGCTGATGTTAGCCCAGTTTCCCAAGAGTTACCACTCACTGGCGCGAATCACAAGCGGTGCGATATATCAAAGTTTTTTCCTCTTTTCCCTTTGACTTTCGGAGCGGCAACACGTTTACTTTCGCTTCGATAGACACAAGGCATGTAAGTAATTCAGAGACGCAGACTGAAGATTGTATTGAACTATTCACACCTTCAATTTTGTTTCTTTCTTTATCCTTCAGTAACATGCTTTATTAATACATTTATTAATTGTTGTTTGTTTGAATTCCATGTTTAGTGTTCATTTTTTACCCGGACTCTCATGATTCCGCCAAATATTGTTTGCGGAATAAATGTACCAGAATGTATAAAGTGACAATACTTTCCATTCCAGCAACACCCTGCATGTGTTGATGTAATGTAATATAAGGCACATGAAAATAACTTTTCAAAGGGCAAATAAATATTGTTGATCTTTACAGTACTTTTAAAAACATGCGTTATTTCAAACCATGGACGTGAAATCTTTAATCTAATTAGTAAAACTGCCAGGAACAAATAATAAATAAATATGATATTTTAAAGCGCAGTGCTGGAAAAATATGCTAATTTAACAAACCAATGAAAGCAAGCACAGTCTCAATTCAAAATTTATTAAATTTGACATTGTTCCGGATTTAGTTTAGTGTGAATTGCTATTTACTGAAATAATTCAACTTTTGTATGAATAAACATTCCACTTACTATTTTGATGTAAAGGTGACATTCTGTAAGGATTTTAACAAAAAATAGAAAAAAATCTCGTACATCATTTAACTGGATGGCTACTCAAAAACAAACCTACATTTTGTTCTTTTACTTATTTGAGTTTTTGTAACTAAGAATAGAATATGTTTCTTCACATGAAATGATTTAAAAAAGAATGACATCCATGTAGGACTAAAGAATCTTAATTTGGTCATTCGTAGCTCCGAATAGTCAACAAGCAAAATCTTTCGTCGCCGTTTCGTTTTAATTGATAAAAAATAATAATAACAGGGTCTAAGCTAAGAGATCCAGAAGGAGAAAAACAAAAAACAGTCTTGATTTCATTTTAACTGTTTTTTTCCTTGTGTGAAGTGCTTCCCTTAAAGGCGGCCTATCAAGGAAGAAAATGATTTATTTTATTAAATTAAAAACTCAATTTCCCGCCTAAATAAAGCGTGAAACGCTTTCATTAACCTTCAGTCCAATTCCAATTTTAATGAAGCAGGATTATTTTTAGTGTTTGAACATTTTTTATTTATTTTTTCACCATCTTTTTATCTTCGTCATTATTTTCCACTTTCTTTCCAATCAATCTATCTATGTTAGTCTGGCAACCTATCTATCTATCTATCTATCTATCTATCTATCTATCTATCTACAGAGAAAAGTTCACTATCGATCGACCTATTTATCTATCTAGAACTGTTCATTATTTATCCATCTATCTAGAATTGTTAATTATTTAATTATGCAGAACTGTTCATTATTTATCTATGTAGAACTGTTCATTATTTATCTATCTACTTAGAACAGTTCATTATTTATCTATAACAGTTCATTATCTATCTATCTATATATATATCTACCTTTGACTTGTTCATTATATATCTACATTTGAATTGTTCATTACCTATCTACATTTGAACTGTTTATTATCTATCTACCTAGAACTGTTCATTATATACTATCTATCAACAGAGAACAGTTCACTATCAATCTATATATTTATCTATGTAAAACTGTTCATTATTTATCTATCTACCAAGAACAGTTCACTATCTATCTAGAACAGTTCATTATCTATCTAAAACAGTTCGGTATCTATCTATCTAGAACTGTTCGCTATCTATAGATCTAGAAATGTTTATTATATATCTATCTAGAACTGTTCATTATCTAGATGTCTATGAATCTATCTAGAACTGTTCATTATCTATCTACCTTTGAACTGTTCAATATCTATCTACATTTGAATTTTTCATTATCTATCTACATTTGAACTGTTCATTATCTATGTATCCATCTATCTATCAATCTAGAAATGTTCATTATCTATGTATGTATGTATGCATCTATCTATCTATCTATCTATCTATCTATCTAGAACTATTCATTCTCTGTCTATCTATCTATCTATTTATCTCTCTCTCTCTCTCTCTCTATATATATATATATATATATATATATATATATATGTATAGAACTATTCATTATCTATCTATGCATCTAGATCTATTCATTATCTATCTAAATATCTAGATCTATTCATTATCTACAGCTGTTCATTATCTATCTACATCTCTTCATTGTCTGTCCATCTATCTATCTGTCTAGCTATCTATCTATCTACATCTGTTCATTATCTATCTATCTATCTATCGAGAACTGTTCATTATTTATCTTTCTAGAATCGTCCATTACCTGTCTACCGATATCATTTCATTATCTATCTATATTAACTATCTATCTAGTTCTGTTCCTTATCTATCTATCTATCTTTATCATTAACTATGAATCTATATATCTATAGATCCTTGTTATTTATATGTACAATTCTGTAAAGGGACGACGGTCCGATGATAGCGCCAAACAGAAGAACAAATGACACTATAAGAAAAGCGCTTTTCAAACTATTCAAAAACATCTGCTTTGAAATAGACGTCGAAATGAATAAAAAAGTTGTCAACTACCTGGACGTAGAATTAAATCTTCAAGCTGGCATGGTCCCCCTATACATAAAACCCAATGCCAAATTAAAATACATGAATATTAGATCTAACCACTCTACGAACATAATAAAGCACACCCCTAAGTAGTAGAATAATTTTTGAGGATAAAAAGAAAGAAGATGAGAAGAGCTTAAAAGGTAGAGGGTCACAAAACCAAACTAGAATTTAAACCTCAAATTAAACAACCTATGAAAAGCAATTCAAGGAAAAGAAAAAAATATCATTTGGTTTAATCCCACTTTTAACTTAGAAGTAAAATGTAAAAGAGGGAAAATATTTTTCAAGTTACTTACCAAACACTTCCCAAAAATTCAGAATTACATAAAATATTCAATAAAAACAGAGTTAAATTAAGCTAAAGCTGCACTAGTAATTTAGAAACAATGATAGATAGACAAAACACCAGAAATTTCAAAACTAACGCGCAGCAAAATATAGTTAACACTATTAATTTATGCAACTGTAGAAATCAGAATATATGTCCATTAAACGGAGCTTGTAAAACAGAAGCAATAATCTAGAAAGCAAAAGTAACAGATATTAATGGCCAAAATAAAACGTACATAGGATGTACGGAAAGTACTTTCAAACGTAGATGGTACAATCATAGGTCGTCATTCGAGCTAGTAAATCTTAGGTATTCTACCAAACTAACTGTGTGGAATTTAAAAGAGAAAAAAAACATCAATGATCCGATTGTAAGCTGAAATTTTTTTAAAAAGGCGAAGCCTTATAACAACTACAACAATATTTGCAACTTCTGTCAACAGGAAAAATTAACAATTATGACATTTACGGATCCAAAGAACTAGAAAACCTAAATTATCGACCTATTTATCTATCCATAATTATTCTTCACTCTATTTCTATTATGCCCGTGAGTTTGTTTATTTTTTAAAAAAGAATAATATAACGTTCAATATTTAAAAAAAAAATAAATTAAGCGTTGAGAGGTCATTTTCTAAAAAATCGCCTGAGGATACCGTAAGGTTGAAACCAAGGTAAGCGGATACAACTGACCTCCTGATTTAAAACGTATATATCTATGTATCTACCTAGAACTGTTCATTATCTATCTATCTATCTATCTATCTATCTATCTATCTATCTATCATTGAACTGCTCATTATCTATCAACTTATAATTGTTCATCAACTATTTATCTATCTACCTACAACTGTTCCTTATCTATCTATCTATCTATCTAGCAAGCTAACTATCTGGATCCGTTCATTATGTACCTGTCTGTCTGCCGAAACTTTTTCTTATATATATATATATATATATATATATATATATATACCGAAAAACTGTTCATTATCTATTTAGAACTGTTCAATATCAATCTACCTATCTATTCAGATCTATTCATTATATATATACCTATCCAGAGCTGTTCATTATCTATCTATCTATTTAAATTTGTCCATTAGCTATCTACCTATCTAGATCTTTTCATTATCTATCTACCTATCAAGATGTTTTCAGTATGTATGGACCTATCTATTGAGATCTGTTCATTATCTACCTACCTATCTAGATGTATTCATTATCTATCTACTATATCTTGATCTGATCGCCAACTATCTATCTACCTATCTAGATCTTTTCATTATCTATCTACCTATCAAGATGTTTTCAGTATGTATGGACCTATCTATTGAGATCTGTTCATTATCTACCTACCTATCTAGATGTATTCATTATCTATCTACTATATCTTGATCTGATCGCCAACTATCTATCTATCTATGTAGATCTGTTCATTATCTACCTACCTATCTAGATGTATTCATTATCTATCTACTATATCTTGATCTGATCGCCAACTATCTATCTACCTATCTAGATCTTTTTCATTATCTATCTACCTATCAAGATGTTTTCAGTATGTATGGACCTATCTATTGAGATCTGTTCATTATCTACCTACCTATCTAGATGTATTCATTATCTATCTACTATATCTTGATCTGATCGCCAACTATCTATCTATCTATGTAGATCTGTTCATTATCTACCTACCTATCTAGATGTATTCATTATCTATCTACTATATCTTGATCTGATCGCCAACTATCTATCTACCTATCTAGATCTTTTCATTATCTATCTACCTATCAAGATGTTTTCAGTATGTATGGACCTATCTATTGAGATCTGTTCATTATCTACCTACCTATCTAGATGTATTCATTATCTATCTACTATATCTTGATCTGATCGCCAACTATCTATCTATCTATGTAGATCTATTCATTATCTACCTACCTATCTAGATGTATTCATTATCTATCTACTATATCTTGATCTGATCGCCAACTATCTATCTATGTAGATCTGTTCATTATCTATCTACCTATCTAGATGTATTCATTATCTATCTACTATATCTTGATCTGATCGCCAACTATCTATCTACCTATCTAGATCTTTTCATTATCTATCTACCTATCAAGATGTTTTCAGTATGTATGGACCTATCTATTGAGATCTGTTCATTATCTACCTACCTATCTAGATGTATTCATTATCTATCTACTATATCTTGATCTGATCGCCAACTATCTATCTATCTATGTAGATCTGTTCATTATCTACCTACCTATCTAGATGTATTCATTATCTATCTACTATATCTTGATCTGATCGCCAACTATCTATCTACCTATCTAGATCTTTTCATTATCTATCTACCTATCAAGATGTTTTTCAGTATGTATGGACCTATCTATTGAGATCTGTTCATTATCTACCTACCTATCTAGATGTATTCATTATCTATCTACTATATCTTGATCTGATCGCCAACTATCTATCTATCTATGTAGATCTGTTCATTATCTACCTACCTATCTAGATGTATTCATTATCTATCTACTATATCTTGATCTGATCGCCAACTATCTATCTACCTATCTAGATCTTTTCATTATCTATCTACCTATCAAGATGTTTTTCAGTATGTATGGACCTATCTATTGAGATCTGTTCATTATCTACCTACCTATCTAGATGTATTCATTATCTATCTACTATATCTTGATCTGATCGCCAACTATCTATCTATCTATCTATGTAGATCTGTTCATTATCTACCTACCTATCTAGATGTATTCATTATCTATCTACTATATCTTGATCTGATCGCCAACTATCTATCTACCTATCTAGATCTTTTCATTATCTATCTACCTATCAAGATGTTTTCAGTATGTATGGACCTATCTATTGAGATCTGTTCATTATCTACCTACCTATCTAGATGTATTCATTATCTATCTACTATATCTTGATCTGATCATAACTATCTATCTATCTATGTAGATCTGTTCATTATCTACCTACCTATCTAGATGTATTCATTATCTATCTACTATATCTTGATCTGATCGCCAACTATCTATCTACCTATCTAGATCTTTTCATTATCTATCTACCTATCAAGATGTTTTCAGTATGTATGGACCTATCTATTGAGATCTGTTCATTATCTACCTACCTATCTAGATGTATTCATTATCTATCTACTATATCTTGATCTGATCGCCAACTATCTATCTATCTATGTAGATCTGTTCATTATCTACCTACCTATCTAGATGTATTCATTATCTATCTACTATATCTTGATCTGATCGCCAACTATCTATCTACCTATCTAGATCTTTTCATTATCTATCTACCTATCAAGATGTTTTCAGTATGTATGGACCTATCTATTGAGATCTGTTCATTATCTACCTACCTATCTAGATGTATTCATTATCTATCTACTATATCTTGATCTGATCGCCAACTATCTATCTATCTATGTAGATCTGTTCATTATCTACCTACCTATCTAGATGTATTCATTATCTATCTACTATATCTTGATCTGATCGCCAACTATCTATCTACCTATCTAGATCTTTTCATTATCTATCTACCTATCAAGATGTTTTCAGTATGTATGGACCTATCTATTTGAGATCTGTTCATTATCTACCTACCTATCTAGATGTATTCATTATCTATCTACTATATCTTGATCTGATCGCCAACTATCTATCTATCTATGTAGATCTATTCATTATCTACCTACCTATCTAGATGTATTCATTATCTATCTACTATATCTTGATCTGATCGCCAACTATCTATCTATGTAGATCTGTTCATTATCTATCTACCTATCTAGATGTATTCATTATCTATCTACTATATCTTGATCTGATCGCCAACTATCTATCTACCTATCTAGATCTTTTCATTATCTATCTACCTATCAAGATGTTTTCAGTATGTATGGACCTATCTATTGAGATCTGTTCATTATCTACCTACCTATCTAGATGTATTCATTATCTATCTACTATATCTTGATCTGATCGCCAACTATCTATCTATCTATGTAGATCTGTTCATTATCTACCTACCTATCTAGATGTATTCATTATCTATCTACTATATCTTGATCTGATCGCCAACTATCTATCTACCTATCTAGATCTTTTCATTATCTATCTACCTATCAAGATGTTTTCAGTATGTATGGACCTATCTATTGAGATCTGTTCATTATCTACCTACCTATCTAGATGTATTCATTATCTATCTACTATATCTTGATCTGATCGCCAACTATCTATCTATCTATGTAGATCTGTTCATTATCTACCTACCTATCTAGATGTATTCATTATCTATCTACTATATCTTGATCTGATCGCCAACTATCTATCTACCTATCTAGATCTTTTCATTATCTATCTACCTATCAAGATGTTTTTCAGTATGTATCTATGGACCTATCTATTGAGATCTGTTCATTATCTACCTACCTATCTAGATGTATTCATTATCTATCTACTATATCTTGATCTGATCGCCAACTATCTATCTATCTATGTAGATCTGTTCATTATCTACCTACCTATCTAGATGTATTCATTATCTATCTACTATATCTTGATCTGATCGCCAACTATCTATCTACCTATCTAGATCTTTTCATTATCTATCTACCTATCAAGATGTTTTCAGTATGTATGGACCTATCTATTGAGATCTGTTCATTATCTACCTACCTATCTAGATGTATTCATTATCTATCTACTATATCTTGATCTGATCGCCAACTATCTATCTATCTATGTAGATCTGTTCATTATCTACCTACCTATCTAGATGTATTCATTATCTATCTACTATATCTTGATCTGATCGCCAACTATCTATCTACCTATCTAGATCTTTTCATTATCTATCTACCTATCAAGATGTTTTCAGTATGTATGGACCTATCTATTGAGATCTGTTCATTATCTACCTACCTATCTAGATGTATTCATTATCTATCTACTATATCTTGATCTGATCGCCAACTATCTATCTATCTATGTAGATCTGTTCATTATCTACCTACCTATCTAGATGTATTCATTATCTATCTACTATATCTTGATCTGATCGCCAACTATCTATCTACCTATCTAGATCTTTTCATTATCTATCTACCTATCAAGATGTTTTTCAGTATGTATGGACCTATCTATTGAGATCTGTTCATTATCTACCTACCTATCTAGATGTATTCATTATCTATCTACTATATCTTGATCTGATCGCCAACTATCTATCTACCTATCTAGATCTTTTCATTATCTATCTACCTATCAAGATGTTTTTCAGTATGTATGGACCTATCTATTGAGATCTGTTCATTATCTACCTACCTATCTAGATGTATTCATTATCTATCTACTATATCTTGATCTGATCGCCAACTATCTATCTATCTATGTAGATCTGTTCATTATCTACCTACCTATCTAGATGTATTCATTATCTATCTACTATATCTTGATCTGATCGCCAACTATCTATCTACCTATCTAGATCTTTTCATTATCTATCTACCTATCAAGATGTTTTCAGTATGTATGGACCTATCTATTGAGATCTGTTCATTATCTACCTACCTATCTAGATGTATTCATTATCTATCTACTATATCTTGATCTGATCGCCAACTATCTATCTATCTATGTAGATCTGTTCATTATCTACCTACCTATCTAGATGTATTCATTATCTATCTACTATATCTTGATCTGATCGCCAACTATCTATCTATCTATGTAGATCTATTCATTATCTATCTCGCTAGCAATCTATCTAGACTGTTTATTATTTATCTGCCTAAAATATCTACATTATTTATATATTTATTGAAAAACTATTCATTACCTACCTATCAAGATTTCTTCATTACCTATCTACCTATGTATCGAGATCTGTTCATTATCTATCTATCTATCTATCTATCTATAACTGTTTACTATCTATCTGCCTAAAATCTTTTCATTATGTATACATTTATGAAAAAACTGCTCATTATCTATCAACCTATCACGTTAGATCTGTTGATTATCTACCTATCTACCAAGATGTGTTCATATCTACCTATTTAGATCTTTTTAGTTCTATCTACGTACCTATCAAGATATGTTCATTATCTATGTAACTATGCATCATCTATCTATCTATCTATCTATCTATCCATCTTGATCTGTTCACTATCTGTTACGTTCGGTTCACTATTTATCTATGTATGTAGAAATGTCCACTATATATATGTATCTCTCTATCGATATATCTTGAAATGTTCACTATCTATCTATCTATCTATCTATCTATCTATCTATCTATCTAAAAAAAGGACTAAAATCTTTTCATTATATATTTATCGAAAAACTTTTCCCCATCTATCTATCTATCTATCTATCTATCTATCTATCTATCTAGAGCACTTCATTATCTATCTACCTATCTATTTAGATCTGTTAATTATCTATCTATTTATCTACCAAGAGGTGTTCATTGCATATCTACCTATTTAGATCTTTTTAGTTTTATCTACGTACCTATCAAGATATGTACATTATCTATCTATCTATCTATCTATCTATCTTGATCTTTTCATTCTCTATCTATCTATCCTTCTTGATCTTTTCATTAACTCTCTATCTTGATGTGTTCATTATCCATCCATCTAAAGCCCTAAAATCTTTTCATTATCTATTTATCGAAAAACTTTTCACTATCTATCTATCTATCTATCTATCTATCTATCTATCTAGATCTGTTCATTATCTATCCATCAATCTAGATCTGTCTATTATCTATCTGCCTAAAAACCTTTCATAATCTCTATATTTATCAAAAACTGTTCATTATCTATCAACCTATCTATATATCTATTTATCAATCGATCGATCTATCTATCAATCTATTTCGATCTGTTAACTATATATCTATCACGATCGGTTCACTATATATCTATTTATCGATCTATCTTGATTCTTTCACTATCTTTTTATCGATCTATCATGATATGTTCACTATGTATCTAGAACTGACAACTCTATCGCTCTATTGATCTATTTTGATCTGTTCACTATGTATCTATCTATAATTCTTGATCTTTTCATTATCTTTCTATCTAGATCTGTTCATTATCTATCAATATATTTAGATCTGTTCATTATCTATGTATCTATCTAGATTTGTTCCTTATCTATGTATCTAGGTCTTTTCTTTATCATCTATCTAGAGCTGTTATTTATCTATCTAGATCTGTTCTTTACCTATCTAATCTATCTATCTATCTATCTATCTATCTATCTAGAACTATTCTTTATCTATCTGCAAAATGCCGGAAGTTTGCGAGACCAGAGTCTACTAATTTGTGACTGAAAACTACCAAAACATCAGGGAGACTCAACGCATTAAGAAAAAAATTAAAAAGAAAGGAACGCCGGAAAATAAAATAATTTTGGCCAATCAAAAAAATTAACATAAGGAGACTTTTGGATGTTAGCCGAAACTGAGCTTCGCGCCAGTAAGTCTGGATCCCCGTCAAAAGAATATAAGCTCACAGCTATTAGATGAGAAGAAGGGACGGCAAGAGAAACCACGGAACAAGAGACGCGACTGCCAGAGAAACCAGCCATGCGTGATGCATGAAGTAGTTAAAAGGTCATCTACTAATGATATTTTCTGTCCTTCTGAGGGTCGAGAAAAATACAGTAGATCGATGTCGACCTATTTTTAAGATGATTACTACTATCAAGTTCTGAATTCTCAACTGTCGAAACGGAATTTCTCCGGACTGCTACTAAGATCTGCCTTATAAACGAACATTTTGTTATCCCGAATATCAGAGAACTCACTCCAATCAAAATCAAATAAATAAATATATATTATTTATTTTAGCCAGTTTGAGCCAGTTTTATTCCAAAGTTTCCGATAAAAATCATCAAGTGCAATCCACATTACTACAAATCAATTCTTTCAGGGCACCAGCTTTCAATTGATAGCAGGGCAAATGGAAAATTCATTTTTAATTGTAGGTAATATCAGCTATCGAACAGAACAGACAAACTATACACAGGAATTATTTATGGGTACTTGTGGGATTCTTTCAGAAATCTAAAATTATTAATAACAGATAATTGCAAAAGTTCGTTCCTGATTGTCATTGTTAATATAAAATGACCGCAACTTGACACTGACGGTTGTTTTGGTGCCGATTTCTGGTGTGTTCGAGATTAAAACCTTGCATCGTTCAGTCACGAGGCAGACTTTGTTGAATGTTGATATTTTGTCCATAAATGAATGTCTTAAAGATGGAGAATTAAAAAGTTGCATTTTCGCCATATTATTCTCTCTGAATTTCGGAATTTAGTAAAGTATCGCAATTGCGAAAAAAAAATTCAGAAGGTTTATTTGAATGGTGCTTCAGCTCTTAGGACGGTTAAAAAGTGGTTTGGTAAATTTCGTCAAGATTATTTTAACCTAAACGATCAACCATGCTCCTGATGACCTTACCACATCAACGAAGACGCTCTGCTTACCATCGAGTAGAATAAGCCGAAGATTTCGATGAAAAAAAAATTGTTAAGAGTTTGAAAAATCGATATCGCAACTGCTTTCCGTCATTTGAAGAGGCTTGGGTTCCTTTCCAAACTCGGCATGTGGGTGCCACATTCTCTAATCGAACAAAACAAGCTCGATTGTGTTTCTGTGGTGATTTCTTTGCAGTTACGCCACGCAAAAAGGCCGTTCTTGGACAGAACTGTCACGGATGATGAAAAAAATGGATCGTTCATGATAACGTTCGACGCAAACAAAACTGGAAACAAATTTGAAAATGTGCGGAACCGGTGGTTAAAACGTGCTTCGATTCAATGAAGGTATTAGTGTTAGTGGGATTGCAGAGGGATAATTCTCTTTGAGCTTCTTCCAGCCTGCGAAACAATAACCGCAAAGAAGTATTGCGACCAACTCACCAGTCGCAATGCGCCTATTCAAGAAAAACGGCCGATTTTGACTAATCGAAAAAGTGACATTTTCCACTACGAACGCAAAACCGCATATTGTAAAAAAGACCATGCAGAAGTTTAAAGAGTTGAGTCAGGACCGGGATTCATTTCACACAAAGCAAGGTGCATCTTGTCTGATAGGATTTGTCATAATGATTTGAGGCAAGGTTTTACAAGGTCGGATGCTCTTCCTGACGCCCAACTCGGACACTCGCGGTAGTCGAAATACAGTGAGTCCTTTTATTGATACACCATCTTTAGGAAGGTTCCAATTCAAGGCTTGAGGCCCTATCCTAGCTTTATATACATATTATATATACTAGGGAAAGTCAAAATTATCTGCACTCTTGTCTAAAGATATGTTATGTCGAAAGTACGGACAATTTTTGACTTACCCTCGTGTGTGTGTGTGTATTAGCTCCTATAAGAAGCTCGTCCTACATGATGCTAAATAAAATTATAGCTTGAATAGGTTGAACAATATTTTCGTATGTGAAGCTAACCATTATTTCTCCTTTCTCATCATAAATTTCACAATATTTTCGACATTTTCTATTAATTTTCCCTTTCTTTGAGGTTGCTATTTTCTATCTTAAATATTCATTTAAGTTTACAGGGAAAAGGTTGATCATATGTTGACTATCCTATATTTATTTATATGCTTTCGTAAAGTACACATGCATTATTGTTCTTAATACTAAAAGAATTCATCCGTTATTTTATCTGTCACTTCCTTCTTCTCTCCTGAATCTGTTGACTGTCTGTAGACCATAGGCCCACAGCCATACTATGCCAGGTGCTCTTCTGTGGCTTTAACAACAAGTCGGTTTTACCATAACATCTCAATCTATATAACACCGAATTTGTTCTATGGATCTAAACTATCTTTCCAGGCCAGTGGATACAAAGGAATGATGATAGGAGAAAAACTAAAAACTAAAACAAAAAAAAAAAAAATAGGCAGATGTGTGAAGTTAGTATAGGACATTCACTAATAGTCTAATTGCCGAAGAGAGCGCTGGTTACAGTACATTATTGTAGGTAGGACAGTTAAACTTTGTTTTACTGTCATGGCTTCCCGTAACTAAATAGTAAAAACGCGCCTGTCCTGAAGGTGGTTTCCCAAGTTACAAAGGGGATACAGGTTTGATTCCTGTCGGGAGGCACATTTTCTTCTGATCTCTTAAACACACACACACACACAAAAGGGTATTTACTCAAACACGAGCACCCACTTTATAACGTTTATTTTAGTAAGAAATATTAGTGTATAAAAGTTTGTGACGAAAATCTATGAAACCCGAGAAATTGTCCTTAAATTTCTTTCGATAAAAATAGAAGAAATAGAAAACTTAATTAAAATAAAAGACTATATGACGCTTCTGAACACTTTTTGCGTGTTGAGAAAGATATTAGAACGTTAGGAAAATTTGAGAGAAAGTACTTTTCATTATTACACATTTTTTTTATATTTTATTATCAATTTTTGAATAGTTTCTTCATTTTTTGTTGCTTCTTCTCACCCTTTTTTTTTTTTTTACCGATTCATTCTTTATTGGAATTCACAATAAAAATATAGCTCCCAACGTGATTTGAACTCATATCTTCAGGAACTCATCTTTCAAGGAGAACCCTATTTGATCATGAAAGCATCTTTTCACCTAATGCCGTTCATAAAAGATTTCACTTGTACCTTTTTTCATCTGAATTTTGCCCAATTTAACTATTAACTACGGCAAAGATTTCCATAATTCGCAGTTGAGCAATAAAATTACAATGACGGAAATTCTCGTCATCAGCAGTTAATGACTTAAGTTCATGAAACCCACAACAAGCGCTACTCTTTAGATCCAATATGTTTTAAACATTTATTTTTAGGTGGGACAGTATTATTATGTTTCGTACTTCGATTCGATCTTCACTAGGTGTCCTATACTTGTGCTCAAGCTTAGTAAATAACAACAGTATTATTATGTAACAAGCAACAGAAATAATTTTGCACACAGTAACAACGTTTATCAGAGAGAAACGTATAATCGTCGAACCGAGTTCAAATCCCAAGCTTGTCTGCTGCGTTCACTTTTGCACTAATATCGTTAGGAAATGCATGAACCTACCTCTTCTCCTTTCAACTGTGGGTTAAATAGCAGGGTACGCTAGACTCTCTAGATTTGGTTGGAAGTCATTCTAAGAAAAAGATTACTTTGTATTTCAAACAGTGGAGAATGGAACGAAATAAACACTCCATTATCTTTCCCTAGAAGTTATGGTTATTCACAGATAATAAAGAGAAGGAATTTCCTGAAGAGACATAGTATTAAATAAAGAAACTACTTCCAGATATCTTCTTAGTAACGTATATATCACATTGGGATCGAAAATGCTGATAGATAAATAAAAAAAAATCATCTAAACTATTAATAAAATATTACTACTACTACTACTAATAATAATAATAATAAGGGAGCATCGTGGTCGAGTGTAGAGACGGTTGAGTTTTGTTTTTCAAGTTTGAAGCATGAAGCACCCAATAAAATTTGGAAGTTACATCTAGATAATGAAAAACGCCTTTAATCGGAGACGGTCTAAGCAGACTGGGTTATCCGACTTGACGGTATTTTTAACTGGACCCCATCTGTAAGCTTATGTACTTTTTTTAATCAAAACATATTGCGTACATTTGTCTGTGAGACATGTGTTTCACAGACAAATGTACACACTTATCAGACTGGGTGCATCGGGCTTCGTATATTTGTACTCCAGGATTACTTTGTTGCCGGCCGATCTCTTAGTGAATGAATGAATGAATGAATCAATAATAATAATAATAATAATAATCCTATTATAATTGTGCTTGTTCCTCTCTTCGTTAGTTCGCACGACCGTTATGCTCTGCCAATACATCATAATTAATGAACTATTCTGTTTTGATCGCGTGAAAAGAGGGACAAAAGAAACTACTTGGTTTCAGTGAGAAAATGAATGAAAGAAAGAAAGGGAAGATAGAAGTATTTAACGGCTGTTTCAGTGAAATGGAAAAAGTTGTCAATTTCAAATCTTTTAATTTGAACCCACTTTTTAAATAACGACAAGCATTCATATTTATGATTGTTATTGAAGTATTTTGTTAAAATTGTTATGCGACAGGGGAATTTCTACGGATATTTTATTGCAGTCGAGCTTGTTCAGTCATTAAGAATTAAGATTCATCAGATTATTAAAATAGCAAAACCATGAAATTTTCCCAGGTTAAAATTAGTAATAATAATAATATTAAAGAAACATCTAAGAATATATAAACAACTTAAGAATTGGAAGTCTTGGTAAATTTCTATTTTTCCTCTTTAGTCTTTTCTGTTACTATTGTC